CTTCACACAGTTGAGTCAGCCTCTTTTTGTATCTGTTTTGTGTTTATAGCTGGTGAAAAAATAAGCTTGTATTTATGAACCAACTAACCTCTGGACACCTGTTGTGGGATAGGCACCACACAAAATTGTGAGGACTCAGAAAAGAATCAGATATGTCCATGGTCCCCAGAGGTTCCCCATCTAGGAAGCAAATTAAATAGACCAGTAGAGCGACATGTGCAAGGCATGATGGGAGTGAGGTGGAGAGATGCCCATGGCACTCACTTCTGCCTGGGCGAGGTGGTGGGACTGAGGCTCTTCATAGAGAAGGTTAGGTTTGAGTCGGACCTGAAATATGGATTGTAATTCATTCAGCACACAAGAAGAGAAGGAAAATTAGAGCAGCACAGATAGTAGTGGTATGTATGAAGGCTCAGAAATGTGGAAAATGTGGTGAGTTCGAAGAGGTACAAATGGCTTTTGAAATGGTTGGAAAGCAAGCAGAGTTGGTCTCCAAGCTTACCAGCTAAATATTAGCCCTGAGCTCAGAGCATGGGTGGGGAGGACATGTGTCTGGAAAAACAAATTAGGGTTAGATCACGAAGGGTCTTGTATGTCATGACAAGGATCTGGGCTTGAGAGAGAGAGAGTGTGTGTGTGTGGGGGGGGTGTGCATGCACACATGTGTGCATGCACACTTATGCATGTATGTGTGTGGGCACATGAGCCCATGTGTGATGGGAATGTGGTTTCACTGAAGAATTTTATATTAATGAGTAAAAACTGTTCGATCAAGAGCTTTTCCACCAATCCTGGCCAATCTTTTCTACCTAATGCACTATTTTTCTTCTTTAAGCAGATTGTCCTGGAATGTCCTTGCTGGAAGCCATCTTGTTTAGTTTAAATCACTCCTCCTTGTTATTTTAACCTAAGCCCAGATAACGAAGGCCAAGATTTTAATTGTCTCCAGCGTCAGGCAGTATGGGGCTGGTGTTGATTTTAGAAGGTCCTGGAGAGTGAGAGGAGAAAAGCAATGGTGTTTGTGCCTCCGAGTGTTTCCAGTCTTTGTGCTTCCAGCTCAGCATTTCTGGAGCACTTTACAGCAGGCCTTGTAGAGATTTAGTTGAAAATCAACTTATGGATTCCTCCCTAATTGGCTTGGTCAGGTTTAATCTGTTATTGGTCAAGCCAAGCTGGCTTCTATTATGCAGTGCACTGGGGTTCCCAGGGACGTTCTTATCCTAATGGAGGCTGGCTGTTTTTAGAAGCAAATTGTGGTGTTGATGAAGGCCGATATCATTGTGTCCTCTGAAGTGAACCCAGAAGGACGCCCATCTGATATAGCATTTAGGTCTTTGACTAAAAAGAAAAAGTCTTGGATTTGGCATGTGTATGCTAGAGGGTTAGAGTTTTATAACTCTTTTCTCCACAAGATAAAACAAAGCTTCCTATTTGTTTCTGCCTCTTTGGGCCGATTCCTGGAAATGTGCAGTGTACCCCCTCTAAGCAGGAAGTACCTGCAGCTTAGAACAACTGCAGAGAGGGGCTCCTCATGGCCTCGGGTACCCTGAGGAACATTGGAGCAGGGACGGGGGTGTCCTGTCACTGCAGGCCTGGAACCACTGGCCTTTGCTGAGTCCACCCCCTTGAGGTCATCCAGTGCTGGACACACAGACTTACGTGACAAGGAGAAAAATAAGAACTGCATCATGGCCTTGGGGTAATTCAGGCGCACCGTGAGCATTTAGCCACCACTGAAAGTCGTTTATGTAGACCCAAGAGAGACCAAAGGGAGCCTGTGGGTCTGGAGAGTTTATGAAGGTAAAAAAGCAAACCATCAGGGCAACCCCAGGGAGAGGGCTCATCTCTGTCCCTGGAGATCACGTGAAGGAAAGGAGAGTGAGTGCACAGTCCTATTTTCCTATTTCCTGGAAGACCCTGGGTGTCTGGGTGGGCTGTTTGCACAAGTATGGTGAGGGCGTTCTGTCTACATTTACAGAGTAACCTGCCCCTTCCTCCCCCTACCAGTCTCCTTGCGAGGCCCTTGTTGGGGCTTTGGAGAGTTTGCATGGTTTTGCTCAAGGAAGTCGCTGACAAGAAGAAGAACACTTGCCCTGTAGAACTGAGCTTATTAGAATCAAGAAGACCAACTTAGAAGGCCATAAATAAAGACACGTTCATATATATGCTTAAACACAGACATGCATTTTACAGGTTTTAGAAAACTAGTCTAACATCTGTTTTGCTTTCCTTGTTAATTCCAACCCCCCACCCCCTCTGCCCCCACCCCTACCCCTGAATCTAAAGTGAATTCCTCAGCAAATCCTGATTTAAAAGATGCCTTAGACCCTGCATTTTGAACTGGCTCCCAGAACTTGTTTTTGAAGATTTCTCCTCCCCCTCCCCACTGCCCCAACCCCTTCAGCCAGCCAGCTTGGCAGGCCTTCATTCCAAGATCCAACTTTGACAAATCTGTGTCTTCTGGTGCATTTTGCCACCAACTGACACCTGCCAGTCTCCTGGGGCCAGCTGAGAATCCACTGGCCATCAAGGACCATGGCAGAGACAGACTTGCATCAGCAAGAGCAATAACCCACAACTGTGGGCCCAAGCAAACTGCCAAATCAAAAGCAGTTCCATGCATGTTCTCTTTCTCAAAACTGCTGTGGTTAGGCATATCCCTCTGTGAACATTTTCTATTTTATTATTACTTTTTTAGTTTAGATCCTGGGTTTTCATTCTTTATTTGAATATCCTAGAATCTTGAAGTTTGTCCAAGAAAATGAGAATCACAGCATCATTACAAATCAGACCTCAAGAGGAATTTAAACCTGTCTCTTCAGAACTTATCAGTGAGGATGCTGAAGCTCATTGAAGCAGAGAGAATTACTCAAGGACATATGGCTAGTGAGAAATATATCCAGGGCTAGAGGTCAGGCCTCCTGACTCTCATTCAGGGCTTATACCTTAAATTTGTGTCTGTTTAACATATCCGTATGCAATATACATTGCAGCTACCTGTAAGTGTTGATATTTATCCCAATAAGGGGATAAATAACAGATAACATTATTGAACAATTATTAAGTGGCAGAAATTGTTCTAAGTGCTTAATTTGTGCAATATCATTTACCGTCGTGACAACCTAGATGGGCATTGTCATCCTCGATTTGCAGTCAAAGTAACCAAGACCTGGAGAAGTTAAATAAGTTGCCCTTGGTACATAGGGGGTTCCTATTAGACTGTGGCTTTCCTGGGACTCAGGACTGTGGTGGCTGAGCCCCTAGGGATGGATGGAGCCCTTGCCTGTCTAGTGGAAAAGAGGTGTGAGCACACAGTGAGGGCTGTAACAGAGGCAGGCACCAAGGTGGGGTGAGGGTAGAGCAGGAGGAAGATGGCAAGGAGATGGCATTGGTCTTGGGGATGGAATGGTCTTGGGGATGCATAGATATTGTTAGCTGGAGAGCAGGTGTACAGGCGAGTGGGGGCACCTGCTGCCTTCAGGGAAGACCCCGAGGGGGAGAAACCCAGTGCCAGAAGGCAGAAGCTCGATGGCTGTGGGGGAAATGTGGAGAGATGGGGCTAGAGAGGTAGGTGGGGGGCAGACTGTGAAGTACTTGCCTCCCAAGATAAGGAATTTGGCCTATAGCCAAGAAACAGAGGGGAGCCCACAGCCATTTTTATGAGAGGTAAGTGACAGGATCAGACTACTGGGGGTTTTGAGGGAGGAGACTATAGAGGCCTGGGCAGACTGGTGACAAAGGAAGCAGTTAGGGGGTCGTGCAGTTGCCCAGGCTGAAGTGATGAGGGGCTGGAAACCGTACAGCCATCTGTTTGGCTCAGGCTTCCTCCCCTCCTTTGCTCACACTGCTTCCTCGGCTTGGAATGCTCTCTTCAGTCTAGGCCCGTCTTTCAAGACCAAGCTCAGGTGTTTGATCTGGAGGCTCTCCTCAGTCCCCAGCCTGAATAGGCTTGTGCTCCCCCTCCCCTGGGTCTCCGCTACCTCTGGTACATTCCTCATTCTCTCTTGGCACGCAGAAAATCTCGGTGCACATCTTTGTGTACATTTCTCTCTTCTGCTTTACACCCAGCTCCCTGAAAGCAGGACCAGACCTTTGCCTCCTGAAATACTTGGCAAGGTGCCTGACATTCAGTGAGCTCTCAATAAATGTGTGATGAATGAATAAACTTTCTAAATAAAGGCAGTGACTATGGATATGGAAAGAAGAGGCCAAATTTGGGAGGTGTTTGTTTTTTTTTAAGTTACATCAGGGGTTGGCAAATTATGGCCCATGAAGGCGCCTGGGTGGCTTAGTCGTTAAGTATCTGCCTTCGGCTCAGGTCATGATCCCAGGGTACTGGGATTGAGTCCCACATCGGGCTCCCTTCTCGAGGGGAAGCCTGCTTCTCCCTCTCCCACTCCCACTGCTTGTGTTCCTGCTCTCGCTATCTCTGTCTCTGTCAAATAAATAAATAAAATCTTTAAAAAAAAAAACAACTATGGACCATGGGCCAAATCCAGCCCACTTTATGTACTGCTTTTGTGAATAAAGTTTTATTGGAACACAGCCAAGCTCGTCTGTCCACGTGTTGTCTCTAGCTGCTTTTGCTCTACAATGGCAGAGTTAAGTCATTGTGACAAGACTGTGGCCTGCAAATGCAAAAATATTTACTATCTATACACTTACTGAGAAAGGTTGTCAACCTGTGAGTTAGAGGACCAGGATTAGTGACTGGAGATAAAGAGTGACGGAAAGGAGAGAGTCAAGACTTCTCCTTTTCTCACATCTCCTCATTGTGCCTAACACAGAGCTTTGCTCTGGGGTGATGGCCTTGGCCTGTGGGCCTGCAGGCACTGAGAGAGAAAGACCCATGACTGTGGGGCAGGAGGAAAAAGGATCCTAGGAGACCAAGTTGGGAAAGAGACCCCGTAAGAAAAGACAAGGGGCCATAGCTGCAAGGCGAAGTTTACCTAGATCCTGCTTCTTCCTGGTGAAGCTTCTCACACTCTTCTCTCTCTTAGTCATCCAGTTTGGCTTTGTCACCCTCTTTGTGGCCTCCTTTCCTCTGGCACCTGTGTTTGCCCTCCTCAACAATGTCATTGAAGTACGGCTTGATGCAAAGAAGTTTGTGACTGAGCTGAGACGGCCAGATGCCGTGAGAACCAAAGATATTGGTATGTCCCCTGCTTAGAGATCATGGCAGGCCCTCCACCTCCGTTGGTCCCCTCGGGCTCCCCACCACCACCTGCTACCACCATCGTACTCTGGATTCAGGAGGGCTGGGGGAAACCCTTGCCTCTTTATCCCTTGGAGCTCCTCATCCTCATATCTTTGGGCTCTGGGAGGCCTTTATCCACACCCACTTGTCCCCCTGGTTTCCAGACAGGGTGGCACCTAAGCCTTTCTAGGCAAGCCCATTCCTGGGGGGCCCTGCAAACCTCCACTGGTACCTTGCCCGTGGAGCATCACCCTGAGCTGCAGCCTTGTCAGTCACCAGGCCAAGGGTGGGAGTGAGCCAGACGCCCTGCTTTCTGTCTTACAGGGATTTGGTTTGACATTCTCTCTGGGATCGGCAAGTTCTCCGTCATCAGCAATGTAAGTGTTCCATCTGTGACACCCTAGCTCTGTGGGAAGGGAGCTGCAGAGGGGGCCTCCAGAGGAGCTGAGGTCTTCAAAGCAGGGTACCAGCTCTTGTTACCTTCCAGCCTTTTCCTTTTGGAGCTTCGTTCAAGGCAGCGCCCTGGTTAATAGTGCATACATGCCTTCTAACTCATCGGGCTGTGGCCAGGGCTCTGTGACTTTCTTGTTAACTTCACGACACGAAAGAAAGGTAATTATCCACCGGAATGCATACCTTGGCCTTAAGAGTCAAAATCTGATCTTTCCTCGGAGCCAAGAATAATGAGGAAAGAGTTCCGCCTATCTATCCATCTCTTTCCTTTCTTTTTCTACTCCCGAGCTAAACAGTACCTGGACCGTTGCCCGGGCCATGGTTCCTAATTATGGTTCCTCCAAGCTGTCAGTGTGAAGTCATGATTATTCCCATGGACTCTGGCATGTGTAGGTTAAGACAGGATATACAAGAAGAGGGGTCCTACCTGTTGTGACCTCCTTAACTGCCTTGCCAGACATGTCCACATTTCTGAGGAAATCTTGCTGGGCCCAAGCCAATGGCAGCTTTGGCTTCTGCTTTCTGTGTGGATGGTGGCCGGGTAGGGCCTTTTGTTGGAGGAAAATCCTGCTGGCCTGGCGCATACCAAGAAAGCCACCACCCATTTTCCCCCGGGAGAAAAACTTTGGTTCTGGCTGTGACTTGGTTGCCTATTAAGAACACATAAAATGACTAGAGAGGCATGAGGAGAAGCAGAGAGAATCAGCCCGCTGCATTTTGAATGCTCAGTGTAGGAAGTGCACATCTTAAGGCTGACAAATAAGGTGCAATTTGGAAACTAGATCAGTAGATATTTTAGAGTTGTGTTACCTAGAAAAGAGGCCTTGCATACTAGGCACTTTCCATCATACAACAGGATGACAAGAAGTCTTACCTCCCTGGCCTTTCTAAGACTTCTTTATTTATCTGTAAGAATGGGAGAGCATAAGATTACCCTCCAAAAAGGATCATTCTGGAAATTAACTGGGAAGATGAAAGGACCTATAGCAAGTGCTCAGTAAGTTACTCATTCTCAAATATGGTTATGGCCATCCACACTCATACATACATTTCGAAAACAATGCCTAAACTACATTTTTTTTTTTAAAGGGCTTTAATTGTTGGTGCAGAATACAGTATAAACACCTGCCAGAAAGATTTAAGATTTTCTTTGCAGAAAGTACCTCCACATTCAAACATGCAATCATTCACTCATTGTTTGGTTTGCTCCGTAGACATTTATAGAACACTTAAATATGCCAGACAGTGCGTTGGGTACGTGTGGTGGGATCAGGCAAGACCCACGCCTTCCCCCATTGTCTCTGTGTTCCTAAGTCAAATGGATGAAAGAACAACTTCCATTACATGCTGTGCTAAAAAGTGTTGAGAGACAGTGGTCAAATGGAAGGAACTGTGGCACCATATCCCTGGGGTTCCTGGTTCTCTGGTGTCCCCCAGAGACAGAAGTTCATGGTCATCCAGTGTCCTTGCATATCACCTGAAAGTGGCCCTCTTATCACAATCAGTAATTTTCTCAGAAAATCTTCCACTCTGCCTTGGCTTGGCCAACACCAGTGTCAATTCAAATATCTCAGAGGTGCTCATTCCCTCCAGAACCCAACGATCCACACTGGCTTAGCATCCTTAGCAACCAGCCACTGTCTGGTGGGTTCACTTACACATACCAAAGGTGGAAAAGCTGCATGAGCTCAGAGTAAGGACTTCTCTAGCAGAGCGGTGCCTCTGGATGGGGAGCCCAAGGAGGACCAGTCTCTCAGCCAGAGGGACCCTGCCCCACCGAGACAGCATCCATCCTGACCACCCCTCAAGCACATGTGCTTCTGTACTTCAGGCTTTCGTCATTGCCATCACCTCCGACTTTATCCCCCGCCTTGTGTACCAGTATGGCTATAGTCACAATGGGACCTTGCACGGCTTTGTCAACCACACCCTCTCCTTTTTCAACGTCAGCCAGCTGAAGGAAGGAACGCAGCCAGAAAACTCACAGTTTGACCAAGAGGTTCAATTCTGCAGGTAAAGTAATTGGGAGGAGGAGGGTGGCAGCAGGTGACCAGAAGTGGTAGATCCAATTATCTGGAAGATCTAGATTTATATCACTCTCCGCTCCCTCTTTCTCCTACCCTCAGCCCCCCAAATCATGATAAATCAATTTCAGTAAATCAATAAATATTTATTGAGGGCCTTTTGCCAGACACTACAGAGCAAAGAAGTATATAGCCTTGTCTTTACCACCAAGGGGTTTGTGGTCTGGTTGGAAGAATCAAGCAGAGCAGATGGGACAGAGCTGGCTATTCAGGGATTCTATCCAGTGTGGACCAGGAGCACTGTGGGTGTTCAGAGGAGAGGAAGATCGGTGGGGGCTAGAAAGGAAAGGGTAGGGTTCCTGGAGGGCCCAGGAGGAGTTGTAAGACAAAGAGAGAGTATGCTAGGTGGGGAGTCAGCATGGGCTAAGTCGTGGGGTGAGGATGAATTTGGGGTGTTAGGTGAACACTTAGGGGTTAGGTAATGTAGTTAGGAAGAAGAGCACTTAAAAGATAATAAAAAGGAATAATATAGGAAATACAATATATCAAAACTCCTAGGATAGAATAAGCCAAAGCATTGTTGAATTTGAATAGGTAGGACGAAGTCGATAATGGGAAATCTTGATGTATTCCAGGCATTGTAATGTGATGTGATAGGAAGTTACCTCTTTAGTACCAGGAATGATAGATAAAGTGTAGGCTTAGGACAATTAGTCTGAGAGAGAAGGATGCACTAGAATTGGGGGAACTCAGGGAAGGCAGCTGAGCTGCTGCCGTCAGTCAGCCATGAACCACGGCAGGCATAGCCCGGAGTGGTGGAAGGAATTAGGAGGAGGTGAGGAGATGAGCTATTTACTGTAATACATGACAACATTGGTGGCAAGAGACATAGAGGGCGCCCGAAACAAGGATATCTCTCACGGTTAGGCTGAAGTCAAAGGTGGGTCCATTGACAGTGATGGGGAAGATGCTAAAAGAATCCAGTTTTATGGTACATATGATGAATTTGATTTCTAGCACATCAATTAAAAAAGTGGTGAGAAAGTTTTCACCTAACTCCGAGACACAGTAAGCTGGAATTCCTGAGAGGTCCAGGTCAGAGTCGTGATTGAAAACCACCAGCACGGGGATCATGGAAGCCAAGAAACAGAAAACTCTCCACTATTAACCCAAGAAAGGCAAATAAAGAGAACAGAGGGGAATGAATTCTTTAACCGTTTTGTACCCTCGTGAGATGATAGTCCCCATGAAGGGCTTGAGCAAAGATCACACCTCATATTTTAAAAAAGAGAGCAATAACTACAACAAAAACCAAAACCTAGGAAAGGTATCAAGGGCTTTTCTGGGCCATCCCCAAGAGTGTCTGACGTAAGAGCTGGTGATCCCTCCGTCAAAGAAGCCATACCCTGGGTGCATCCGTCGTGCATTCCCGCTTGGTACCTTAAGGCCCGCCATTCATGCAATGGCTGCTCAGGTTCAGACTCACAGTCTGCCGCCACGCAGGAGAGAAAACGAATTGGTCTTCCCAACTCAGATGACTGAGTGATGCAGCCTTACCAATGTGTGATTTAAATAGAAGGGTATTCTGGTCCTAGCTGGGATAACTGTAGGGATCCACTCTAGCCAACCGGGAGGAGACTCAAAACCGGGGACCAGATCTAAGAACAGGTAAGTACATTCATTCACAGGTCTTGATTTATGTCAGCCTAGATGTTTCCAGTATTTGCCCATCTGAAGCTATAAAGAGTCTCACTCTGGGACTGAGGTCCTCTGCTGCTACACGATGCACTGCCCAGGGCCGCTCTGCTGTATGCCCAGCATACCAGACTGTGCTTGGTGTTACATTCTGGCCTACAGGTCCGAGAAAGACATAGTTCCACTACACAGAGACTGTCCCAGCTCGAGGCTTTTCTGGTAGCATCTAGACTGGCTCCAGCAGGGTACACAAAGTTAGTCAGCAGTTGGCACTGAAAAGTAATATTTACGAAATCATTTTTATAACCAGAAGGTATAGAAATGGTCTTGTTGAAGCTCCTCATTCTACATAAAAAGAAACCAAGGCTTAGAAAGGTGAAGAATTCTCCGAGGTACTGAGGTTTCACTGACAGATTCTGAAGTAAAACTAACATTTATCCAAGAATGCAGGCTCAACCCCCAGGCGCAGCGGGAGCAACACCAATGTGGGTTGTGTGGGGAAGCAAGGCTCACTGTGTGTTTTTTTTGTTGTTGTTTGTTTGTTTTAGATTTATTTATTTATTTATTTATTTATTTGAGAGCGAGAGAAAGAGCACAGATGGGGAAGGGCAGAAGGAAGAGGGAGAGGGAGAAACTAAGCAGACTCCGCACTGAGTATGGAGCCTGATGCCTGGCTCAGTCTCATGACCCTGAGGTCATGACCTGAGCCAAAACCAAGAGTTGAACACTTAACCCACTGAACCACCCAGGTGCCCCCTGTGTTTTCTTTCTTTCTTTCTTTTTCTTTTTTTCTTTTTAGAGGGAGAGAGAGAGCACAAGCAGGGGGAGTGGCAGGAAGAGCGAGAAGCAGGCTCCCCACTGAGGAGGGAGCCCGATGTGGGGCTCAATCCCAGGACCCTGAGATCATGACCTGAGCTGAAGGCAGATGCTTAACTGACTGAGCCACCCAGACATCCCATTCCCCTGTGTGTGTTTCTTTAGTTGGTCTAGAAGGACTGAGGATCTGGGACCTTGCTTCTGACCATCAGATCTCCCAGAAATACTATGAATATGCTTTCCAGATATATCAGGGGCTTAACTAGCTTAAACATAAAAGGACTTTAATGGGCCCCCAAGGCAAGACTTGATTCAATTAGGTCTGCCTAAATCAGATCTTTCTCCACCTCCCTCCCAAGTAACTGGAGTATGACAGCCAGCAGCTACTGGGTCCAAGTCCAAGTGGGAACATACCTCTTTGCCAGTGATCCTGCAAAAGTCTCATCGGCTAGGACCAGTATGCATGCCCTCCCAGAACCAATCACGGTAGCCTGAGGAGGAGTGGGGGGTCGGAGGTGAAATGATCTCCATCTGAGGCACAGAGTAGGAGGTAGTGCCCTGGTGAGAAGTTAAGATGAATGGCTACAACAACAAAGCCCAGCAGACCAGGTATTATTAGTACACATGGAGCAGATCAGGCTTTGTTGTAGCTGCTTTCAGAGTCACTGGACTCCCCAGCCTGCTGCAAAGCCCTGGCGACTCTTCTCTTCATCGTTTCTGTGCAAGCTGATGGGATCATGGCTTATTGGTGGCCCATTAAACAACAACAACAACAACAAACAAAACGAAACAAAACAAAACCTCTTCCAGCAAAGTGGCAGAATTATTACTGGGTGCATAAGTAGGAAGTGCATTTTATATTTCTGCTAAGAAAATGTATCTGCAAGATCACACCAAAATGATTTCCGGAGCATCTGTCATGCTTTCTTACTCAGTACCAGTAACGATTATGGGTTCACTGTGCAACCATTTTTGAGACCTTATGATAAAGGCTTGTCGTTGGTGCCATAATAAGGAACAAGACACAAGGCCTCCCTCAAGAAGTCTAGATGAGGAGACGAGCAAGTAAGCAAGCAGTTAAAATCTAGCTTTAATAATTTATAACAGGGTAACTGCAAGGAGCTCTGAGAGCCCTGAAGAAGGAGGCATGCATCTAACCCAGACCTAAGTATTGTGTGGAAACTTCAAGGGAGCTAAAACCTGAAGGTCGAACGGTGCAAGGTTGGCCAGACTGATGCTCTTGGCCAGACTAATGCTCTTGTCGACGTTCCTCATTCACACAACCAAGCCAGCCTGGGAGGGATGGGAAGAGTGCTGGGGGACCGGAAAAGACCTTAAGTGGTGAAGGAGGTCTGGGGAGAACAAGGCCTTCCAGGTAGACGGGCTCCTTGGTGCTTGGTGGTGGGAGCTGGAGTGATGGATAAACTAAGGGGCGAGGCAGGAAGAGAATACAGAAGCCAGACCAAGAAGAGCATGGTGGGCATATGGAGGTGCGTGGACTCCCTCTTAGGGCAGTGGGGAGCCACAGGGAGCAGGGATGAGATCATACTTTTCTTTGGTGTTCTCTCTGGCTGCAGTGTGAAGACCGGGGAGTACATTTGAAATAAAGAGATGCTCCATTCTACGGTGTAAGCAGGTGTCCAGACAGCAGGGTCAGCCTATTATCTAGATATCATATAGGTGTACTTTGGGGCTACCTTTTCCTAGATGGATAATAATTATTGATGGAAATCTCTGCCTCAGTGGGTCCTGCTCACTGCGTGCTGTGTGAACTTGGCTGGCTCACCAGAGTCTCAGAAAGTGGTGGCATAGCCTACTGATGTTGTAAGCCAGGAATCATCAGTGGCTGTAAGAAGTAGAAATGCAGGAGAATGAGAGAGAGAGAGAGGAGAGGGAGGGAGAGAGAGGTTGGGGAAGGGAGGGAGAGAAGGAGAGAGCGCTCTGGAGCTAGCTCCAAAGCCAGTGTTTAAAACTGCTTCCGTGGTGGGAAATGAAAAGTTTGCCCTGATTTTCTGGCAAATAGTGTTGGGAACTCGATGACCCTTCTTATTCTTAGCTTTCAGTGACCTCTGGAGATAAATGTGGTCAAATAAAACTGAGGTCTCCGGCTCCAACCCAGCCTCGCCAGGGATAGAGGTATCTTAAAAATAGCAGTAAAAGTTAGGACAAGTCTCCAGCTGCCCATTTGAGATGCATTCCCAGCATTTTTGGAGCAATGTTTGCTTCAGTCCTTTCACTGCTCTGGCAGGGCTGCTTCATAAACAGTCCGATGACGTCGGTCTGCGGGCAGGGGCAGTGGCTATTGACAGGGCAGAAGGGCTACCATGTCCTGGAGGGCGGATGGTGGCCCAGGCTCCTGGCTCCATTGGAAGGGAGCGGAGGGGCCGGCAGGGGAGGACCTGGCCAAGGATCTGGGGCCTGGAAACTGGGGAGCCTACTTGGGCATGGTCAACCCAATGGGCCTGCTGTGGGGGTGCT